CGAGAGCCCCCGCGGAGGGGGGTGGCCGCCCCGGTCCCTCCCGGGCCGCAGGGAGCCGGCTCTGCCCGCCGCACGCCGTCGGGCTCTGCCGCCGCAGCTTCGCCCGACGCTGCTCAGCCGAGCGGCAGCGAGGGCTGCGAGGCAAGCGAGCCGCCTCTCGAGGACTAGTGGTACGACCCCACCGGCATTTTTCCCTGACAGCTGTTACCTTTTTCCGTTACAAATGATACAAGGCAGCTACAGGAACCAGGTACGATACAGAGCTCGTCTGTATGGGCAGCGGAGAGCAGTGACGCACCCAGCTTTTCCCAAATACATCCAAGTAGCCCCTTTCCCTCTCTGACTAGCCCGTCAACACTCGCATCCCTTACAAAGTGTCACACAGTTAACTACAGCTCCGAATGTTCCTGGTGTTCCTATCGGTATCTGCGAGAGACTGAAAGAGTTCATGTCTCAAACATTGTGGTGGGGCAAGTTCTGCTCAAGGACAAACCCTGCACAGCGAGGAACCAAGGTGAAAAGCCCATCAGCTCAGACATCAGCAACAGGAGGGGGAGGGTGTGCTGGAGGGTGCCCAGCTCCGGGTTCTGATACAAAGATCAAACAATGGCCACGTCTGCAGGGAAGGAGAAGGTACTCCACAAACCACCCCCAAGCCCCAAAGGCTCACAAACTGCTCATTCGCCTGACGAGTTCAGGTGCCCACCCGAAGGAGGAGCAAGGATGATAAAAGGACACAAACTGAAGCCCCAGGTGTGCAGCCCACCAGAACCGGACCCCTTGGCTGACTGAACCAACGCTGGACCCAGGACTGGTGAAATCTTTCTCTCTTCCTTCCTCTCTCGTTCCTTTTCCTTTTCCACAATCCCTACACCTCATCCCGTTAAGACATAAAACCATTGACCAAGTCTGGGACTAAGAGTGGATCCAGCCGCCCCTGGGCCCTTCTCTGAGGAGGAGTCTAGAAAGCAAGGGCGTCTGCTCTGAACCTCGTAACTCAATGGGAGGGATCTCATTATTCCCTGAATTGATGTATATGGTTACTCTGGTTACACGGTTTACAGAAGTAGTCTTATGCCAATTCCCGTTGTGAGAAACCCTGCCACCTACTACCATGCCTCCCCAGTTCAGTTTGCTTCTGTCACAAATAAAATCTTTAACTGATCGTTTGGTGTCGTTTCACCTTAATTTAGCCCGAGGGAATTTCAAATTAAACATGACTCCCTGGTCTGTGCAGTCTGGGTCATGACAGTATCCCACCACTCTGCAATACTGCAATGGTCTTAACCTCAGCAGCTTCCCAAAGAAATGAATTCCAAACCATAGTTAGGGCACGTAACAAAAAGTATTTCCTTTTATACATTTTGAATTTTCAATTCAGTTGCTATCCTTTTGGTTGGATATTATTTTATTGCATTGTATTCTTTTATTGCATACCATTTTACTGCAATCTCTCTCTGTAAGTTTTTCCTCACCCCTTAAACACCTTCTCTACCCTTCCAATTCTACATCTGTAGGAATTCTTTAATGAGGTGATCAGTAAGCACAAGCCATTCCAAAAGAAACTGTACCCCTAAAGTAAAATAAGGGGGGGGGGGGGGGAAGTCAACATACTTTTTTACATGGTGCTTCACCACATTCCTCCTGTATTGAAAAGAGCTGATTTTACAAAGGTGGTCTTCCACTTTTTAGAGATCACGCCAAACCGCACACACTGAACTTAGAAAAGTTAAGAAGAAAAAAAAAAGTGTAACTTAAGCATTTTTCCTTTCAGTCTGGATTGTCTGCATTTATCAGAACTGAATACTGTTAGTCAATCCACTCAGCCTGGTCAGGTCTCCTTAAATTTCTCACAGTTCTGTTTTGGTCTCAGCCAGCAAATAACTTTCTCCAACACAAGAGCAATCTCCTATCTCTCATTGTTTATCCCTTCTTTAAACTTAAAGTATGTTATGGGTATCACTGAACACTAAGGCACTTGATAGTAAATCTCTTCCTGGGATAAAGAAAAAAAGATCGGCCACCGAATAAATACATTCTGGAGAAGCAGGAAAGAAAACAAAAGCAGAAAACAAAATAATAAAAGCAGGAAAGAAAACAAATCTCCAAGATTAGTTTCCAGAGGCTGTATCTAAGGTATGGAGCAGATGTGTTTCACTGTGTGCACTCAACATCTACTCCTGATCACCCAGATACATAACCTGTTGGTCTGTGCTTTGATTCCCACCCCCACCCCCTGCAAGATCTCTCTCTGGTAGAAACCAGACAGCTGTAGAGGAGAGCAGGAAAACAGCAGTAAGCTTTAGGTCTCATCCTTAGTATGAGGAAATGACTTGGGCACCCACCAGCACCCAGGAAGCACACCTGCCTTTCCATAGCACTGCCACAACCGGCAAGGAACGCATTCAGATGCCAGTGGGGATGCAAAACAGAGAGTTCACAATGCTAAACTTCTAAGTATCATCATCTCATAGAAAAAAAAAAAGACAAACCATGGTATGAGTCACATAATTCACAAATTATTATTTCCATATGTATGGACAAAACAGGTTTTCTTTGAAAATGTTCATGACGTTCTTTTAACTAAATTTAAACAGAAAGAGGGTAGATTTAGATTATATGTAAGGAAGCAGTTCTCCACTATGAGGGTGGTGAGGCACTGGAACAGGTTGCCCAGAGAGGCTGTGGATGCCCCATCCCTGGAAGTGTTCAAGGCCAGGCTGGATGGGGCTTTGAGCAACCTCATCTCTAGTGGAAGTTGTCCCTGCCCATAGCAAACGGGTTTGAACTAGATGATCTTTAAGGTCCCTCCCAACCCAAACCATTCTATGAGTCTATGATTACTCCTTGCTAAAAACCCACCTAGAGCAATTCCATAATTCTATGTATGGGCATCATTTAAAGATACCAAAATGGCATTCTTACATTATCACTTCTAGAATGTGCCATACACCTCATGTTTCAACTTGGCTCCTACTTAGGTTTCTGACCGCTGTCTTTTCCCAGCTCTGAGTTTCTGTGAGGCATTTCTAGCCTCTAGTGAGCCTGCAGAAAGAACAACAAGAAAGTACTGTGCATGTCTGAAAGCATAAGATTGCACACAGATCAGGCATGCTGAAATGCTGATAGAAAAAGCTGTCACGAGTGGCTTTGGTAACTGTGGGGTTCATACAAATACAGCATGGCAAAGGGCTGTCTGAAGTTAAACAACCTTGCAGTGACTTTTACAAGTATACATGAAAGCATGTTTTACAACTGCAGTCCTACTCTGAAGTGAATGTGAGTTTTCCACACACAGTCAGTTAATGAGAAAAATGAAAATAAATAAGTTTAAAATATAATTATAATCCATGCTTTAACTGCTTCAATTCTGTATCTGAAAGCTTCTATTAAAGATATATCTCTTATAAAATCTTTTGTTTTCCAATTATGACCTCTTTGACCAACTGTCAAAGAAAGCACAAAGATTACTTCTGTGTTAATGTACCTTTTCTGAAAGGCACACATTTCACAGGATCCACTGGTCACTGACTGGAACGCTGGGCTGTCTGAAACAGATGCCATCTTCTTAAGCGGAGAGAATCCTAGAAATTCAGCTATTTTTAATCACTCTTCTGTGTAAATTCTGAAAAACAGTAATTCAGTAGAGGCACATGAAACCTGCATGCCTAACACCTTTTCTGTTTTATCAAATGAAAGTAGCACATTTTATTACAAGTCAACTACAGCAATTTTATTAAAACTCCTATTTCCTTAACTACAGGATCCTTAGCCATGTCCGTTTCTTCTCAGAATTCCTCCCTCTCCTTAAATTCCTGCGTTCTGCAGTTTTACTTGTCATACACCAAGCTCTTTGGCACGATTTTTCCGGCCTGATGTGTGACCCAACATCTTTTATCAGACAAGGAGACTGCTATCAAACGTGCAGTTTTCAGAACGTGGAAGTGGCCTGGGGTGAACGTCCAGTTTGTCTGGCAAGATACAAAGTTTCCTCCAGCTTTGTGAACTGCATTCAGTAATTAGGGTCTAAACACGTCGTGCCCGCACGCCGAACTAAACCGAATCTGCTGCCTGTACCTCCTCCTGCCGCTCCCTTTCACCAAGGCCTGTTCAGGGAACGCTCCGGACTACAAACCCACGGACTTTGGCATCGTCGGGCGCCGCGCAGCGACACCCTGGAGGGAGCTTCGGGTAACGTTTTGTACGGCTGACAACGGGCTTCATCAGTGACGGCAGCCGCGGTCATGACAGCGATAAGGCGGACAGCCCGGGGACGGCACAGGGAGCGGAGC